GTAATTATCCTATGTTAAGACATGTTAAAGAAAAGTAATATGTTTGTTATTTGAGCCGTACTTTGGAAAATTATAATGTAAGAAGGATAACAATTGCATGCATGAGAGCCTATTGGATCTGTTGGGTTATTAATATTGGAAATATACTTATCTTCTTTATTTGCAGTATTTTTAATTCTTCTTCTTTCCCTTTAAGAGCCTGGCACTACTTCGGACACTTTAAATTACACCACCACTGTAATTTAAACATGACCCGATGATGCGGATTTTAATGGTTAGGATGAAATAATAACACCGAACCTTACTTTTTTCCTTGGCTTTTCGCGCCAAATGTCAAGCTATAATGGTGTGTTTGTTGTGTCACTGACACACTGTAGGCATGTATTGTGAAGTCACTAGCGCCTCCTACAATAGTTGTATGTAACTAAACATTACACCGATAGCAATACGAATGTGGTGGCGCTCACTGATATATTTTAAAGATGTGTCTGTGAGATTTACTAGCGCCTCCTACAATTGTTGTATGAACTAAACTTTGCTTCAACTCGCCCCACTTAGGTTTGTCCCCCCAGGTCTGCATCTATATGCGCTTGACTCTGGACGAACGAAACATCAGTTTCCTCGAGAAGTTCAAACGGTTCGAACGTATTGCAAGTGTAGAAGAAAGTTCTTTCTAGTTCATTCAGTGTGTTTGTATTGCTCAAGTTAATTGTTAACACACAACAATACCAGTTAGTACAAACAGGCATGAGAATTTGCATCTACAGTATTAGCATGCGGGATGAAATAGATAACAGTAACGTAGAAGAGTAAGAGAGCAAAAGATTGGCGAAACAGATTGGTTCATAGTTTGCTTTTATGCATTTTAATTTCGCAATCAGCCATATTGTCCTTTTATCCCGCTTGTTAGTAAGGCCAATAACGCTGCCAATTGCTGACAATACTGAATTCGATTATCTTCTCAATTAGGTGCAGTTTAGAATGGTTTCATATGTTTGACAGTGCATTTGACAGATACACGAGCGTGAATTAAATTTGGTTAAGTTTGGAATATTGTTCTTCATACACAATGGACGTAAAAAATCTACAAGAGTTTATGGAGCTGGTTGGCCGATTAAAGGTAAGTCATTGTGAAAGTTAAAAGATCTTTCAAGGTAACTACATGATAAATATACATTCATGATTTCGAGGCACACGTGCGGTTGTGTTGTATATACTCATTACGCATACGTGCATATATACATATGTCGGACGTCCACTTTTGGCATTCTTGATCATCTGCTAACTTTTATATACTTAAAAAAAATCCCTTTGTTATATAATGATTTTTTATCAATTTTTCAAGTTTATTTGTTTTGATAAAATTTAATATTCACTCATGCACAGTGTATTTGCATGCATATATTTATAAATATAACTAAGTGATTATTATTATTCATTTAACTTTCTGTATTTCAAGCACATGAAAAGGAAAGGATGGGTTCTTCAAAATATATCTGATCCAGAAACAATTGCTGGTCATATGTACAGGATGGCAATGTTATCATTTTTAGTAGATACGACGGAAAATCTAGATAAAGTCAAGTATGAAATTATGTCACTTATATTCATCTGTATATGAATAGAATATTGTATCTATAAATGGCTGTTTATTATTTATAGAATTATGCAGATGGCTTTAATTCATGACTTAGCAGAATGTATTGTGGGAGATATTACACCTCATTGTGGTATTCCAGTTGAGGAAAAACATAAGCGAGAAGATGAGGCCATGAAAAAAATTTGTAGCCTTCTGGGAGATAGAGGACCTAATATACTGGAAATGTTTAGAGTATGAAAAATTGATATTTAATACGTGCAGAAGTTTCTACTTAAAGTTTCTTTTCTATAACTCTATTTTTTATCTGTACAGGAATATGAAAAACAGGAATCGCCGGAAGCAAAATATGTCAAAGATTTAGACATATTAGACTTAATCATGCAAGCATACGAGTATGAAAAGAGGGACAACATTCCTGGAGAATTAGAGGAATTTTTCGCCAGGACTAATGGAAAAATTCGACATCCTTTTATTAAAAAATTAGCATCAGATATAACTGTGACGAGAGAAGCTTTAGTTTGTAATTCGACTAGTCCCAAAGAAGAAATATAATTCTCTTATAACAATCATTAATGAAAGCCAAATATGTGAGAAATTTCATTACTCCGAGTTTTTAGTTGCAATAAAATAACATCAACATCATAACTTAAAAGATAGTCACTAAAAGTTTAAAATATTTATGTGCGAATATTTTATTTTCTTATAAT